TATATATAATTTTTATTTGTAATTAATTAAAAGAGAAATCACGAAACAAAATTAGCAAAAAGTTTTCGGCTCGCCGAAGAGAAATATCCTTGCAGACAAACAATATTTTATTGCTTCCTTTTTTTACAATAATTCATGTGTAATTTCCTGATCCGTTTCTGCATTAGATCCTGCCTGACTGAGAGACTTAATTTTAATAATAATATTAATAAAAAACMATAACAACAACTGACTGACTGATCGATGATTAAATAAAATGGGTTCTTGGACTCGCCTACTTCTAGTACGTTCTACATGTAGAGATATATGTCGTTAGTGAGATTGTATCGTCCTCTGCAAGGATATCGCAAAAGAAAGGTTACCCAAAAAAGAAACAGCAAAACCACCGCAATTTATTTATTCAATTGTACTTAAAAAAAAAAAGAAAAGAAAAACAATATAAACTAAAGGTTCACCAACAACTGCGTCAACTGCAAAACTGTATGCAATGATTCTGAACTGTATTCAAAGAAAAGCTCCTAAATCTAATAAATACATCCTCAATGAAATTAAAATATTTTTAGACAATAATTAAAACGTAAACCCTGCTTTTATTAATTCACGATCATTAAAACACTGATGTAGAGCGAGACTTTTAGACAAGGATGGGTTTATTTCAATGTCGAGATGAAAATTAAATGAGGCGATTTGGTGTGTTGAATTTTTCCTCTTGAGTTCTTTGCGCCATCATCTGTAAGCTGATAGTAATTGCTGATAGCTTCATATAATTGGTAAAATCGACGAAGTCTAAATTTTGGAATTTGGATAAAAGCGGCCTGCTAAAGCGAATAGACAAAATACACACTCCATAGAGAATGTATTCCTCAAGAGTTCCAATTTAATTTGAGGATAATCGAATTAAATTTTTGTAAGTTTATATTAAATATCCCATATTGAACATCTGCCCATGCGAAATCCTCTCACTGGCCCATAATCCATGGTTCTCAATTCATATCCATTTTATTATCTAGCTCAAATCAGGCGACACACATCTTTTATTATATCATTGTCAATTTTAAGGGTTTTATTTTTGGTGGAATGCAACCCAAATTATTTTAGTAAAAGTCTTAATAAGTAAGTCCTTGTAAGTAAGAGTATCTATCTCATCAATACCAAAATGTTAACTAAACATTTTCCTATTTGCCCTAAACTCATACAAAAATCGAACTTTGAATGCCTTATTATACTCATTCACGAAAGTGAATCAGTATATTGGTTTTGTGCAATGTCCGTCTTGCTGTCCGTCCGTCTGTCCGTCTGTCCGTCCGTCCGTCTGTCCGTCTGTCCGTCTGTCCGTATGAACGCAATCTATTTCGGCGCTATTGAAGCTAGAGACTTGAAATTTGGAACACATACTCGTGTATATCTCCGATTTATAAAGTGTTAAAATTTTCCCGATCCGCCCACTAGGGGCGTGGCAAATCGGAAAATGCATTTTCCGATATACCAGAAATCATGTTTGTTGAAGAGCTAGAAAGCTGAAANGGGGCGTGGCAAATCGGAAAAACCTGTATATTCTACAGTATTAGAACGAAACTTAACTACTAAATTGTTGATGGGATGTGAATGAGTATTCCGCAGTCGGTAACGCCCGACTGCAACGTTCTTACTTGTGTTTTATTTGTATCTATTGTATTTAAAAACATTTTTATTCTCTTCCTCGTATAAAATCTCTATTAGAATCAATAATATACTGGACCAATTTTTTCATCGAAAGTATGATTTTTCTGCATTTTTTGGCCTAGTTGTTGGTTCTGTAATTGGTCTTACATACAGGAAATAGTCGTTCGTTGCTTATAGAACATGGATTAGTCTCAAACAGACCTTCATTCTATTTGCTAGATAATACAGAAAATCATTCTATAAAATAGTTCTTCCGTCATCAGATTCTTGTGTCCAAATCAGACTTTTTTTAAGTGACTTTTTAAAGAGTATTACACAGTCGATAATTGATCTGACACATAGAAAATACTCCGTCGTTGCTCATAGACCGAATAATGCATTGGATTGGACCCAAAATGGACTTTATTGTGTATGCTTCCTAGATATTATAAGAAATCATCCTCTATAAAAGTGTTAGCGTGTTCTATCTAGTCTTATATGAAAACTTAAGTGCGAAACGAGTACCTAAATTCATGCGGGTTCTTTCAGCTAATGCTCATGTTAACTTTAATTTGATTTAGTGATAGTTACAATTAGATTTGTATTACAAATTAGTGCTATCCGTAGTAGGTACAAAGTTGCTTAGACAGAGATATTGAAATGTTTTCGACTGCTATGGTAGCAGCAAATAAATATCGTAATATATAAGAACGTGGCGAAGATGCCCAAGGCGTTGAGAGCCATCGAGAAGCCAAGAAAGTATTTCCACTTGCCTCGAATGGCTTCGCAAGTCTCGCCAATGTCGCTGGGATGGGGTAAACGGAAATAGTTAGTCCCACAAGTTGGGTCAAGTTCGTTCCGGATATACTCACTTATCATCAGAGTCAGCGTCTGATAACGCCGCAGTGGTCGTCGCTTGCTGCTCCTCCGTCAGGCAGGTGCAGTTGCTGTAGTTGAGCAGGGAGCTGGTCGCCGGGCCACAGTTGCCATCGGTCAGCGTCGACGTGGTCTGCAGCTCGGCGAACTCGATGGCGGCACAGACCAGCGCCAGGCAGCAGAAGATCAGGGCCAGGGCGGAAAAGACATAGGACTCCACCAGCAGCACTTTGTAGCAGCTGTTGTGCGACCTCTTGTAGTCGGACTCGCGATCCCTCCCAAGCAGTATTAGGCCCGCAATACTGGCAAGTAAAAGCTAAAATATTGCTCCTTTACTACTGGATGAGTAACACTTGGGCACACCAACATGGAGGACATGGTGGTGGCTAGTTGCTACTCACTGAAAGGCCACTTAGGTACGGGTTTATCAATATGGATGCACTCGGTGTCCAAACAAGTATCGAGATGGCCAAGCCCACGATCAGGAGGCCGACGGCCAGTTGCAGGATCAACAGTTGGCGTGAGAAGTTTGAGTTGCGAATGTGTGAAGTATATGTCTCCTGGATGCCTGGGAAAATGAAGGAGAATACAAGATTAGAAACGAAAAGTAGATAGAAAAGAAGAACAACGAGGAAAAGCAATTATAAGGAAAGGTGAGTGAAAGACGAGGACGACAAGAAGAGAAAGGAGGAAACAAAAACAAGGGTAAAAGTAATTGAAGAGAGGAGAAGACAGACGATGAAAAGCATTGATAAAGGAAAGATGAGAAAAGAGGCAACAAAAACAAGGGAAAAATTTACGAAAGGAAAGAAAAAAGTAAAAGGAGAAGAATACAGAAGAAACGAAAGAAAAGCGAAATCAAACATATGCATTAAAACATAGACAAGAAGATGAAGCAATAAGTGATAAGTCAATAATAGAAGAGGATGTAGAAGTAGAGAGAGAAGATACAGGGCGAGAGGCAGGAGCAGAAAAACGCAATAGATGGGATGATAAGGGATAAGGATAAAAAATAAAAAAGAAGAAGAAAAGAGCAGGAAAGAGATGAGAATTGAAGAGACAAGATAAGACAAGGAAGGAGATGCAAAGAGTCGAAGGGATGAAAGAAACGAGACAAGAGAAAGCATCAGAGGTGTAAAAATGAAAAGAGAAGCGATAAATAGAGCCGAGGATGAGAGGGGCAAAGGGTACTTGCGCCTGTTATGGATCTACCCATTCTCTGCTTTGGTCACTTACTGTCATGGTTCTTGTTGACCACTATCATCCGACTGTGCCTGAGACTGTTCCGAGTCGGCGTGTGTCGTCCGGCGATCTTCATGCCCTTCATGTTCTGGGGGACCGTGGTGCTCATGTAGACAGCCTGTGCGACACACATATTGGAATGGGCAGAGTAAGTAGATAAGACTATCATGCGGATCAGCTGATACGCACCTGGGTTGGCTGCAGCGCATCCAGATCGCTCAGCGGAATCTGCTCGTATGTGGCACCGAAGCGCTGCGAGACGACTGTGGGCGAGCTGCTGGCTTCCGGCTGAGCGGGAATTCGCGTGGGCTGTGGCACATTTTGGTATTTGGGCTCCGGCTTGATCACCACTGACGGCATCGCTGCGGCAGGTGAGTCACGCGCACCGGCTGGCGAGGCTGCCGCAGTCGCTGCCGTGTCACAGTTGTGGATGCCAAAGAATTTGGACTTGGCATCACTCAAAGCGGCTTTGACTGCGGCTATGCTGTGGCTGGTCTCATTCAGCTCTGTGGCCTGCTCCTGGCCATTGGCGGGCCACGCCTTCCTGTTGCCGTTCACGGCAATGCTTGGGCTATCTCGCAACTGTGGATGCTGCTGCTGTTGTTGTTGTCGTTGCTGTTGTTGTTCTTGTTGTTTCATCTTCGGTTTGGCTGTGTTGGCTGCTGTTGCTGTCAGGTTGTCATAGGTGCTTATTGGACGTACGGCTTGTGATTGCATTGTTGTCTGCTTCCTTGAGCTGTGGGCGTTGTTCCAATAGTGCTAGAGCCTCCAGACGCATAGCGTATCCTCAGCATGAATCGTTAGAAATATTGCTGAAATATTGTTTATCAGACGGTCAAACATCTTTTAGGCCAATTGCGCTTTGATCATTCTTGAGCCCTTAAG